GTGTGAGCAATTTTAACACGACAAGGAACTTGTCGATATCGTAATTACTTTTTTTTTATGTGTACTGGTGAAGGTCACAATTCTTCGCTGTGACTTGACCAATAAAACACGTGCTTCCAAACCAAGAAAGTTCCTAATTATTCATCTAATAAGATATTAGTATTAAGCCTGTTATGTTTTTAAGCACTAGATTCTTCTTCTAGTCCCCTATGGATTTTCAAGAATTAAAGTGTATAATAATTAGTGCAACAGATGGCTTATATAAATAGTGTTCCGATCACCACCGTGTTTGTTGCATTCCAGCGGGCCTAAAGTTGTGTGAATTGACCGATACACGTCACCGGAAGTGGATATGGCGAATATAGTGTGGTGTGGAATACTATTATTGTATACACACTTATAACTCTTGCAAATCCCCAAGGGACTATATAATGAATGTAGGGTTTGAAAATATAATAGGCCTAATACTGATGTCTTTTGACAAGTACTATTAATTAATTCAAGCTTCGCCAGCTTCTGAAAGGCGTTCACAACATAACAGAAAGGTCTTACCTGAACGAAAGCAATCCCAACACCAACACCTCCAACAATGACGATCTTGTCTTCCACGAACTTGGCCAATTTGTCCACACATCCCTATCAGTTAAGTAGAACGTTTAGAGTTTCAGGACGTTTTAAGTGCAACTCATTCATCATGAAAATAAGTAATTCTTTTATATTTTTTGCTTTTATTATTGTGATTGGATGAAAAGTAAAAACAGACACTTAAAGATACTGCTATTATGAATGGTTGATATTTAAAGATTCTGTTATTATGAATTGTTGATATTTAAAGATACTGTTATTATGAATGGTTGATACCTAAATATACTGTTATTACAAATGGTTGATATTTAAAGATACTGTTATTATGAATGGTTGATATTTAAAGATACTGTTATTATGAATGGTTGATATTTAAAGATACTGTTATTATGAATGGTTGATATTTAAAGATGCTGTTATTATGAATGGTTGATATTTAAATATACTGTTATTCGAATGGTTGATACTTAAATATACTGTTATTATGGATGGTTGATATTTAAATATACTGTTATTACGAATGGTTGATACTTAAATATACTGTTATTATGGATGGTTGATACTTTTCAACTCGAATTTACCAGATCACAGAAAAGATTAATGAGTACTGAGCATCAAATCAAGGTAACTTTTTATAAAGTACCAAACCCCGTTAGAGGGTGCTTAAGCTATTAATAACTGGAAACAGGAAAATGTGGATTATCTGGAGTAAAAATTTCATTGAGAACTAATTACATTAACAGTTAATATTCTTAAAATTAATAATAATAATAAAATCCCCAACGGCTTCTTAAAGCAGTGTTCAATTGTAAGAATTTATGTAGAAATAAACAGCTAATGTGTCTTATTTTAAAAACTGATAAATAAAACTTCAAATTAGGCCAAGTAACGAATATGGCGAAAATAATCACGTGGATAAGCTTGGGAAGTCTTCTAGAATCTTGCCCTCCCCCAACTGGCACAGCAGTATGTCTGCGGACTTACAACGCTAGAAACCGGGTTTCGATACCCGTGGTGGGCAGAGCACAGATAGCCCATTGTGTAGCTTTGTACTTAATTTCAAACAAACAAAATCTAGAATCTCACATTTTGAGCAAAACGACCCCTTCCAACAATGTTCCTAAACTTAGATGTAAATTATATTGTTTTATAAATTTTAATATATTTTTTACTGTTTTGTTTAGTGTCACCATACACGAAAGGTTTGCGCTTTGTAACCATGGGCAAAATGATTAAACGTATATTTTGTTATTATGAAACTGTCTTTGTAACCATGGGCAAAATGATTAAACATATATTTTGTTATTATGAAACTGTCTTTGTAACCATGGGCAAAAAGAGTAAACATATATTTTATGAGAACTTACAGTTTTGTAATGTTTTTCATTAACCATGCACGATTTACTGGGGTCACCGTCTGGACAGCAGCTGTATGGTAGTTTAGATTCATAATATTGTTTCCACTCAGTTGCGTTGTTAGCCCCGCAACACTTCAACTGTAAGAGATATATTTACCAAACAAAATCAAGCAACATTCTAATTGTAACGAGTACATTTAGCAATAAAAAACACTCAGCATTACAACTCTAACAGGTATTGTTACCATATTTTTTATATTTCAGTTATCTTAAATGTTAAGACTAAATGCATTTTTAAACTGTTATATAGTTTGAAAAGCATTTAAAATATTGTAAAATTGATTTTTCCTCTTCCTTATTTTTTTAATTTTTTACAGGTTTGTTATAATGAGAGAAATATATTTATACAATTGCTTTTTCTGTTTAATAATATTACTTTCACGAAAGAAATAACTGTTTCTTAAGCAAGAGAGAAATATACATACGAAGTATTATCTCGTAAAGTATTACCGGTGTAAATAATTATCGGGGTAATTCGTTATTGGTTGATTTATTGCCACGTGACGTACGTCTTTGTCAAAAGGTATTACATTTTATCTGTCAACTGTCAGTGAAGAGAGCTATGAAACTTTTTAATAAAAATGCACATTTGTTAGTATGTACCACTTATATTACTCAGTAGAATAGCAGAAAACCTCTGAAAGAAGAGCTATTGTTTTGATCATCTATCATTCCTCTTTCAAAATAGTGCACTTGTGGTTGCGCATGCTCAGTGATATTTCTAAAATTCTCTGGAAAAATGTGGAAAACGTTAAGTGCTTTACAGATATGTATAGAAAAAATCTTTGTTAAAACGTACAAATGGTCCTAAAAGAAAATTACATTTACAATAAAATATGAAATGTCATTCATAATTCAATATATTATACTTTTTAAAGAATTTTATGGATTTTTTCAAACAAGGGTATTTTTACACTAACAAAATGGCATAACTTTTACTTTAAAAAAAGAATTACAGATGATAGCCCATTTTGTGCTCCATGCTACGGAATTTATCCTTGTAAACAATGGAAACTGCTGCTACACTGGTAATACATGATATTCTTTTCCAAAAGGACTCCATGGGTCGTCTTGAGCTTAGAATGACAAACTTGAGGAATTAAAACGAGAAACATGTACAAACATGTGAAACAGTAAACATGTACAAACATGTAAAACAGTATGAATCGTTTAATTTTTAAAGATAAGTAGTATTCAATTTTTCTTTTTACTACATCTGTACCCCGATGAGACAGCGGCAAGTCTACCGACTTAAAAACGCTGCAATCCGAGGTTCGATTCCCCACGATGGACACAGCAGATTGCCCGACGTGGCTTTGCTCTAAAACAAACAAACAAAAGGATTACTACACTTATAATACATTAGACCATCCTGTATGCCTTCAGAATGTAAGCACAACACAGAAGATACAACAACCTTTAGAATGTAAGCACAAGACAGAAGATACAACAATCTTCAGAATGTAAGCACAAGACAATGATACAACAACCTTTAGGATGTAAGCACAAGACAGGCGATACAACAACCTTCAGAATGTAAGCACAAGACATTGTGCTTACATTCTAAAGGTTGTTGTATCATTGACAATGATACAACAACCTTTAGAATGTAAGCACAAGACAGAAGATACAACAATCTTCAGAATGTAAGCACAAGACAATGATACAACAACCTTTACAATGTAAGCACAAGACAGAAGATACAACAACCTTTACAATGTAAGCACAAGACAATGATACAACAACCTTTAGAATGTAAGCACAAAACAGAAGATACGAGAACCTTTAGAATGTAAGCACAAGACAGGCGATACAACAACCTTCAGAATGTAAGCACAATATATAGAGTCCCTACAAGTTCAGTATGTGTTTTATTAATACATATGTGAAGTTAGCAGATTAAGCTCTTACATTAGACTGCACATCATCCCAAGCTTTCGTGACTCCTGTATATCCCGTCTTGTTATAATTCTTCATGCCTTCTTTCATTTTATCTCTGATGACGTCTTCGATCTTAAATGCAAATGTAAACGTATATTAACAACATTTGTTATCACAACTTATAATGTTTACAATTAATTATATTGTCTAGTTTCCCTCACTTGTGTACATTTTAACCGCATTCATTAAGCCTAAAACAACTAAATCTAAACAGTTCTGTATCAGGCAAAAGCACATTGTTTGAGTTATAAAACTACTAAAAATATATATACGAGTCTAATCTAATCATTCTATTTACCACTTGTTCGCGATTTGTACCATTTTCAAGGAATTCCATCTCTCACTAGCAAATCTGAACAAAGGTAAAACGAGATAATAGAAGATAGATTCATATACTTGAGGAGGGTATATTATATATATGGTGTTTTGAAATGTTTTTTACACACACACACATATTTGTATATGAATTTCAAGAAAATACAGCTAATTTATTCTTGTGAATTATTCGGCCTGATATAAGGTGACATTTCCCCAAACTGGGAAGTGGTAAATCAAATCATAGATTGGGCTTCACATTGATTGTTTTAGTATATTAAACTGTTTGTTTGCTGAATTATTCACAATCATAAGTTAGTAGCATCAGTGCTACATGTTACTGAAATTTCGATATAAACATAGGATCACTGTGTGAGTAAAAAACGTCTCAAAACAACACACACAAACATATTAATATATATATATATATATCGTGCTAGTGCAGGTAATTTTTACTGTGTGGAAAATCTCAGAATACTGTCAATTTTTTCACTTGTTTTAGGATTATTGTAATCAGTTTATTATGTTTGAAATAATGGAGAAATATTATAATGTTTTTTATTGTTAAGAAAAACAGATATTGTAGTAATTTTGTTATGTTTGAAATAACGAAGTATTATGATATTTTTTTATTATTAGGTTTGCTTGTAGTTAAGCACAAAGCTACACAAAGGGCTATCTGTGCTCTGCCCACCACAGGTATCGAAACCCGATTATTATTAGGAAAAACTAATACTGTATTAATTTAGTTATGTTTGAAATAATGACGTATTATAATATATTTATTGTTAAGAAAACTAATATTGTACTAATTTTTGATATCTTTGAAATAATGAATATTATATTCTTTATTGTTAAGAAAATCTAATATTGTAGTAATTTTTATGTTTCAAATAATGAAGTATATATTATGATATTTTTTATTGTCAAGAATAACTAATATTGTAGTAATTTTTGTTATGTTTCAAATAATGAAGTATATATTATGATATTTTTTATTGTCAAGAATAACTAATATTGTAGTAATTTTTGTTATGTTTCAAATAATGAAGTATATATTATGATATTTTTTATTGTCAAGAATAACTAATATTGTAGTAATTTTTTTATGTTTGAAAATATGAAGTATTATAATATTTTCATTGTTTAGGACTCATAACGTAGATAAATTAATATTTAGAATTATACACACGGGCTTTTCTCTACGATAGAATACTTTTCTTTTATTTGCCGGCTTTTGGCATTCTTACCTTGCCTTTATTGGGCAGCAATTGCTCAGTACATTGTTGCCCGAAGAAAGCTACGGTAAAAAGGCCAATAGCTGGCAAATATAAGAAAGTATTTAACGTAGAGAAGAGACCGTGTGTAATCCTACAAATATTTATCATTGTTAAGAAAAATTAATACTTCAACCATATTTGTAGTGTTTAAAAAAAAAACGGAAGAAATATTATAATATGTTGTGACAAGAAAATGGTACTATAATTTTTAGTCATATACAAAGAAAGTAAATAAGCACATACATCTAAAACAAAGTTAATTCCTGTAGTTCAAATTAAAATAAGAGACACAAAGACTTACTTTTACAGTATGTCTGCTCATATTAATATGTAAAAAAGTCAATGTTTCACATATCAAGCAATAATTATTTAATTAAACACCACAGTTATTTTTTCTACCTACCTTGTTCCTATAAACATAAGCTGTAATACCAGCAGCAAGTTCCAAGATAAAGATGATGAACAAAAGAACACCAAACTGAAAAGAAAAATAATTATTAATACATATACTGATGTACTTAACAGTATGACGATTACACAATATACCTTTCTAATAGAGCCAGACAAGGGAAATGTACACATTAGAACCAGGTTCAAGCATATATATATAGCATTCACCGAGCTGACCACTGAAGAAAGCAATATTGATAAGCAGTCATCTAAGTTAAAAACTTGTTCTACTTTATTATTTTACATTCCTTTTACTGCGAAAAAACGTCTGGTGTTGTTTTATGAATATTACATGCTCATCGCCATGTTGTTGCAACTTATTAACATCAAAGCATGCTTCCTTGGTTCTTTGGTAACATATCCGTTACAACAGATATATCAGGCGTGTTTTAACACTGGTCATAAAGGTCATCATGTTCGTTACAACTTATATATCAGGCGTGTTTTAACACTGGTCATAAAATTCAACATGTTCATTATAACAGATATATCAGGCGTGTTTTAACACTGTTCGTAAAACTCAACATCTCCGTTACAACTGATATATCAAGCGTGTTTTAACATTAGTCATAAAACTCAACATGTTCGTTACAACTGATATATCACGCCTGTTTTAACAGTGTAATATCAGAGTGAAGATGATGATATTCTGTGTAAGTATTACAGAAGCCTGCAAATTTAAACTTTTTAATTTCTTTTAACGCAGACTTCGAAAATAGTATTCTTTTTTTTCTATCACGTAAGAATTTTTTTACAAATCTAGACTGATCGATAAGACTCTCACGTCGCGATTGGTTGTCAACATTTGAAGTATCAAAATGTGACCCGATTCCAACGAAAATGATTCACTTATGTAAAAGTACATATGACGTTTTGTCAAAAATGTGTAGTTGATGGGGAAAAATGGATGCCATTTTCGTATTCAACGTACAGGAATTACTGTAGAACATGTAAAAATTTCAAGACAATTAAACCATTAGTGTTATTAATGCGAAAAGTTGAAATTAATTATTGTTGATTCATGTGTTAGGAAAACACGTAGGTTTAAAAATCAGTTAAGGACAAAAATAAGAAACTAAATATATACTAAACACTTTCGAAAGGTAGACTTTTCTTCTCCAGGGGCAACCTGGAAATGTACGAGAAAGTGCGAGAAAAGGTCGAGTGACGTCATGGTTACGCAAAGTAGACAACCACGAGGACCAGGAAACGATTAACAACCACAGATCTTTAGTTAATACTTCAACCAACCCTGTTATTCTATTAACGAAGTGGTTCTCAGAGGTATTGAAAGCGGTTTCATAACTAAAGCTAATAGAGAAATAATAAAATCTACTGGACTGCCACTTTAAGCATCGTTCGACCTTATGGAGTAAACCTGGATCCTGCAATCAGTGGACTTCGATCGTCCTGTCTGACAAATAAAATTAAAATTCTTTTCATGTGTGATATTTTACCCTTAATCTTTATTATTTATTTATGTTATCTGCGATGTTTTATCTACTTAACATTACCATGTTAATCTTCGTATCACACCTTCCTTTAACTGTTAATCTTCGTATCACACCTTCCTTTAACTTACAATATTCCCATTATATCTTGTAATTTAATTTTTTTTCAACAAAACGCTTTCTATCCTCCTTATTTCTAGTATTCTATTTCTTAACAACGTTCCCCGATGCGACAGCGGTTAGTCTGCTGATGTACAACGCTAAAATCAGGGGTTCGATTCTTCGCGGTAGACACAGCAGAGAGCCCAATATGGCTTTGTTCTAGAATAAACTTTCAAAATGTAATGCTCGACAGAAATCCTTCACACTTGCAACATTCATTTGAAAGCTGATCAAAACACTTCCGGTTTGTCATGGTGATCTGTCTTGCGTAACTATGACGTCACTTCACCTTTTTTCTCATTTTACTCAATTTAGTCATTACCTGTTTGCCACCTGATGATTCGTCAGAACTCCCTGACGAAAGTGTTTGGATTAAACGGTTTCTTATTGTTGACTGTTTTATCTAACTCATGGAATTTCTCTTGAAAACAACAACAAATGACGATGTATATCAGTAACGCTACCATTTACACAAATGACGATGTATATCAGTAACGCTACCATTTAAACAAATGACGATGTATATCAGTAACGCTACCATTTAGACAAATGACGACGTATATCAGTAACGCTACCATTTACAATAGGTCCACATTAGGTGCTACTAGGTAAAAGATTGTGACACAAATTTTCCTAATATTTGATACTAGAAGCAAGCTCGAGCTTTAAATTGGTTTGTTTCGAATTTCGCGCAAAGCTACACGAAGGCTATCTGCGCTAGCCGTTCCTAATTTAGTAGTGAACGACTAGAGGGAAGGGAGCTAGTCATTACCACCCACCGCCAACTCTTGAGCTACTCCTTTACCGGCGAATAGTTCTTTGACCGAAACTTTATAATGCTCCCACGGCTGAAAGGGCGAACATGTTCGGTGGGACAGGGATTCGAACCCGCGACCCTCAGATTGCGAGTCGAGCGCCCTAACCACCCGTAAATAGAAAACTATTAACTATATACAGCTTTATACGTATACTGAAAAACTAAAGACTATCAAAAAAAGAATTTATTGTTTTGTGATGACCATAATTTATGTTTATTTTGTTTTGTTTTTTGAAATATAATATTGGTCCTGTCTCAAATAAACGTGCCTTTGGACATTGGAAATAGGTTATAGTTGTTTTTGTTTTTAACACAAGCTGGTGTCAAATTTTAACTACCCTTCTACCTGTTACCTCATCAAGTATTTAATATTAAAATAAAATACCATCTATAGTAGGTAATGACTTTTCATTTCAAGCACAAATTATGCTTGCCAAGACAAAACAAAAAGTGAACCTGTTACTCAAGCCTGAATAAATATAAACGCTGTAATTGTATATATCACACCTGATACTCATTGCGTAATGTTGTCGTTGCCATGCTACAGTTATTGTGTAACCTGTAATTGCTGTCATAACCATATAACAGTTATTACGTAACCTGTACTTACTGTCATCACCATACAGTAGTTTTCTTTGATGGCACCACAGCAGCCCAGGAAGGAGAGGATAAAAATGATAACTCCGACAACAATGAGCAGGATAGGAGCTGATGCATATTTATCACCCAGAAAGTCTACGTACGTTGTTGCTTTGGCTTGAACCCATGCCCCTACGGCAATAATGGCTATTCCTGTTACCTGAAATATATATATAGCTGCTGAATTAATGAGTTTTCACAGAGGTTTGGAAACACAAGAAACAAATTAATTATAAAAACTAACGTTAAAAAAAAACACTATTGTTTAAACAACTTTACAAATTACAAGTACGAGCTACAGCTGACTCTTTATTGTCTCATCAAGATTATTGTTTAAACAACCTTACAGATTACAAGTATGAGCTACAGCTGACTCTTTATTGTCTCACCAAGATTATTGTTTAAACAACCTTACAAATTACAAGTATGAGCTACAGCTGGCGCTTTTATTGTCTCACCAAGATTATTGTTTAAACAATCTAAAAGAAGTCAATTTAGAGTTACTCAATATGTAAATATCTCATTTCTTGCCATTTTGTGTAAAATTGGAGAATTCCTATTTGTGAAACTTTTAAAAATAAAAGCGATACCAAATATTAAAGAGAAATCTGAATTAAAGGCGTTAGGTTTGTTTTAAACATTTTTCATTTAAAAATGTCGACTTTTTACAAATCAGAGAAATTGTTGGAAAAGCTCATTTTAATATTTTAAATTGAAATGAAAGAAAAAAAAATTTCGAAACGTAACTGAAAATGTAACATGGCGTCCTTGGATCAAGTTTCAACTTTTAATGACACAAATACTTTTCAAATGTGTATAGAGATCCGATAAAAGTACAAACCCTTTAGTCTAACACTTAATCTGTAAGTTACACGTGAAGAAGTCCATTGGTTAGCGTGCCGGACTGTGACCTGGCATTCCGGGTTCACGTCCCATTACCGAAAAAACAAAATCGCACTTCTCACTTTGGGGATGCTGGAACGTTACTGTTTGATTGTTATGAAGCACAAAGCTACACAAAGGGCTATCTGTGCTCTGGCCACCACGTGTATCGAAACTCGGTTTCTAGCAGTATAAGTCCGCAGACATACCACTGTGCCACTGGGGCGCTGGGTCGTTACAAGAATGATGTTCCGAAAAAAAGTAGCCCACAAGTTGGCAGTGGGTGGTGTTGACTATCTACCTTTCCGCTAGTCTATCACTTCAAAAATTAGAGATGGCTAGAGCAGATAGTCCATGAGTAGCTTTGCACGAAATTCTACAAAACAAAGAAACCGAAAGTGACTTTCACGAGCTGATTCTACTATATTTCAGCACACACTAAGTGGACGTAAAACAGTATTAAACTACTATATTTCAGCACACGCTAAGTGGACGTAAAACAGTATCAACCAACTACTATATTTCAGCACACACTAAGTGGACGTAAAACAGTATCAACCAACTACTATATTTCAGCACACACTAAGTGGACATAAAACAGTATTAAATTACTATATTTCAGCACACACTAAGTGGACGTAAAACAGTATTAAACTACTATATTTCAGCACACACTAAGTGGACATAAAACAGTATTAAAC